ACACAAGAACAAAAAAAAAAACCTTGGTTCCTGCAACAAGGAGGACCAGAAAGTCCCAAAGAAATTTCTTTCGAAAATAAAACCAGAAACGATACAATTTTTCAATCTGACTCAAGTTCAGAATCAGACCAGGAGATGGTAGGGAGGGGGAACTGAACAAACAAACCAACAAAACAAATAAACGAACAGAAAAATGCATCAGATTCGAAAGATTGCAATATGGACTGGAACTTCCTGACCGCCTCAGAGGGATCCAGAGGAAGAAGAAATGGGGGGTTTCGCAGAGCAGCCATGATTATCCGACCGCCTTTTTTCTTTTTCTTCTTCTTCCTAAAACCCCCGCCATTTTCCTCCACCTTCATTTCTTTTTGCACTTGACTTCACTTCACAGAAACGGGTTGTTCTTTGATGTTGTCGGAGCCGTGGTGCCCGTCGTCAGCCTCTGCTCCATCTGCATTTTAAAATCCATCACATTATTCCCCTCGCAAACACACGAATATGAAAATCATCAAAATATAAGTTGAATAAATCAGATCACCTCAGGAGACCCACTTAATCAGGTCTGAACCGATTCGCCTGTTCCTCAAAAGCAGCATGAAAAAATAATCAAAAAGCTTGTCAATTATACAACCATCACAGAAGCTAGTAGTTCAATCACTCAAAACTAAGTTAAAAGCATTCGTATGGAAATTACATATCAATCCCAATCTTCGATCTCAAAATATATAAAAAACAAATACACATACAACAGGTGACATCTGTCCCACGCCACGTAAAAAAGTCTTGGATAATCTATCACACAAAACGCACAGGGGACAAACAAATTGTGGGGACACATATTTGAAAGCAACATTCAAAACATGGCCGAAATATTTTGTACCTTGTTCGAAAAACTGAAGAACATTCGAAAAACAGCCTAATTTTTTCCAAAACTTGTACTATCTCAAGATTGTTTTTCACGTGGATAAACAAAATGAACTAAAAAAGGGTTGTTCAAAATGTAGCATCAAAAAAGCACCAAACGTTGAAAAGCAATTTTTGTCTTTCAGAAAGTTGAAATCAAGGACTTTCGAACTGCAGACGCTTTTTTTCATGAAATCCAAAAAAAAACCGGAAAAAGTCTAAATTAAGTTATAAAAACCTTTTCATCTCGAGAAATTTTTTACAATTTCAATGCCATAAATTCAGCGCTAAAAATTGGTCGGTCAGTCGAAATAAAAAGAAAAATTAATTTTAACACCGTACTCAAAAATAGAATTTCTAAAATTTCGGCCATAATTTTTAGTAAAAGAAGTTAATAAAAAAGAGGTCAATCAAAATAACAATAAAATCAATACATGGATCGAACACAGCTTCTGGAAAAATACGCTACTTCATCTAGAAATATTCACAAACTTTGGCTGTTGGAATTTTTTCTTTTCAACTCACTCCAAATTCCACAAATAAATAAAAATTCAAGTAAAATTTATTCTTGGAGTCACTTCAAATATGACTAGAGAAGTTTTTCATTCGGCAAATATGAACACTTCTCTCAAGTCAAATTTATTTTTCGAGTCCCATCAAATTTGACTCTCGAGGACTTTTA